CCACCTAACAGTTGCATTGTCTAGCCCACATTTTACTATCTTGTTTGCTATACAACCACATTTTCTATACAACCAATAAAGGTACACAAACCCTCTCGTTTTCATTCTAATGACCCTGTGGGGCTGATGCCAATTTGTAGAGCAGGGGTAGGCAACCTAAGGCCCGGGGGCTGCCTGCCATGATGATATTGATTATTGTTGTTATTGCTTGTTCTTGGGGTTTTCTTGGCAAAATATCCATAGGGGTTTTACTATGCCTTTTCTGGGGCTGAGAGAGTGTGCATGCATTTTTTTATTTTTTAAAAAAAATTATTTTTATTTATTTATTTATTTATTTATTTATTTATTTATTTATTTTTTGGTGCTTCGGCCCCCCAATTGTCTGAGGGACAGCAACCTGGCCCCCTGCTCAAAAAGGTTGCCTACCCCTGTTGTAGAGGGATGAATAGGGTTTCTTTCAACGTAAAGTGTACACCAGGTAATAGATTAAGCCACAGTTGGTCTCCCTGACTGAAAATGCAGAGCTATTCCTTCTTTTTCAAGGGGAACCAAGTGGGTTATAAAAGAAAGACCTAAAGAGTGGCTACAGAGTAATCTAGAGAATCTAATTTTTTTTTTTTTTTAGTAAACATGAGGAGACAGTCAAGATGTCAATGTAAAAACATGTCCCCTCTTAGCATGTGCAGAGTTTACCATGGCAATGGTTCCCAATCTTTTTTCACGTGTGTACTCCTTGACAACCCATTTCCACAAATTGTAACCTTCATGCTAGCAATTAATACAAGTCCTGTTATTTCAGATTTGTATGTTGCAATTGTGCATAAATAATCCAATAATAGGATTAAAAAGCAATAAGGTGAACAGACAGTGCATAAAAACACCAACATGTTATTCACAACAAATGTTTAGTACGATCCTTGAGCTTGTTTTGAGGCACATAGGTTTTTTTAAAAAAAAATTAGGTTCCACTGATGTCAGATACAGTCTTAAATCTGGAACTGCATTCAGCTTATTTTTTTAAATATATAAAATAATTTTTCCTTGCTCTTTTGGCTAAAGATTTATGGGGGAAATTCAACTTATTAAACGATGGGCTACCAGGGATAGGCAACCTTTCCCCTTTAAGGGCCGAGGGACTTCAGCTCCCAGAAGCCTCAGCCATGTTGGCCAATAGTCCCATGTTGGCCAATAGCTCCTGGGATTCTGGGAGCTGAAGTCCCTCGGCCCTTAAAGGTTGCCTACCCCTGGGCTACACCATGATTAACATTAGCCTACAGCACCTAGTGTGTCAGATGCAATATTTATTGTGAGAAGAAATGGGGAGATTAATATTTTGGTGGGAGGGAAACACTTTTGATGGGGGGAATATTCTGGGGGGGAAATGGGAATATTGCAAGAAGGTGGGGCAAGTCTTTTATAAGGAGAAATGCAGGCACTTAGAACTACTATGCTGCTCAGAATTGGACATAATATTCCAGGTGAGGTCTGACCAAAGAAGAATAGGGTTGGATTTCTGCTTCTTTTAATCTGGACCACAGCAGTCCTGTTAACATAGGTTAGGTATGCATTAGCTTTTTCATCTGCTGCATCACACTGTTGATTCATATTTCGCTAGTTTGTGGTCTCACAGAAGCTTTGGAAGTGGGGAGCAAGGATCCTTCTTGCTCCTCATCCCCAAAGCTGGAGGCTATTGTGCCAATGAACACACAAGAGTCTCCAGCTTCGGAAGGGGCTCATTTTTATGCCCCATTCCCGAAGCAGGAGGTTTTTGTGGCAGTGAGCATACAAGAGTCTCCAGTTGCTCCCCACTTTTTGCCTCCCTCTCTTGCTTCCATCCTGCACTCCATCGATCAACAATATCATCCCTAGTCTAGCCATGAGGAGAAAAGAGATGGAGTGCAGAGGAGACAGTGGGAAGGTGGGTTCGGAGACGGCAGCTGCCCAGTTAATTTGCCAGTTTGTTTTATATTATACTGCATCAGTATTTATCTACAAGTTGAGAGTGCCTTATCTGGAATTCCAAAATCCAAAATACTCCAAAATTCAAAATTGTCCACATGGGTGGCTGAGATAGCGACCCCTTTGCTTTCTGATGGTACAGTGTACACAACTTTGTTTCACACACAAAGTTATTACAAATATTATGTATAAAATTACTATCAGGCTATAAAGTGTTTATGCAACATAAATGAATTTAATGTTTAGACATGGGTCTCATCTCTAAAGGGATCTCACAATGTATATGCAAATATTCCAAAAATGTGGAAAAAAATCCCAAAACCAAAATACTTCTGATACCAAGTATTTTGGATAAGGGAGACTCAACCAGTATCTGAATACTTTGTTTTACAATCATATTCCATTAGTTTTATATGTATATATATTGAATACTTTGTTTTAAAATCATATTCCATTAGTTTTATATGTATATATATTTCACATTGCATACCTTCAGCAAGACTGCCTATTTGTTGTTGGTTTTACTTTGCAAAGCACCACGTGCACTAATGGCACTTTATAAAATAACAACAACAACAATTGGGGTATGGCAGAGCAAGGCAGAGCTAGCTAGAAGGGGTAGACTAGTGGATCTCTAAGGCACCTTTCCACAATAAAATTCTATGATTCCATGACAACAGTTTGTCTTCTGAAACAGAAATGTAAAAGAGTTTCTCCACACTCTGTTTCCTGCATTAAAAAAAAAAATCAGGCCAAGGAAATCTCTCACAGTCAGGCTCATGATTAGGCACTTCTAATTGTTTTTTAATTCATTTCTAAAATATACAATGTCTTTTTAACATTTTAATTGGGAGAAGACAGGCCAATACCAGCCATTAACTCAGAAATCAAAAGAAAACATTCCACCCCAACCAAGGCAGAATGGTGAAGAGATGCACTAAAATGCAGAACTGAATGAAGAAATCAAACAAAATGTTTCTCCCCAAAATACACTAACCAGTATCAACCAATCCACATGCATAAATTCCCTTTCCCCTCATCAACTGTATAAATGCTTCATCTGTTTGTTCGTCCATTCACAGTAGTGCATAGGTTAAAGAAACTAAAGTCCAAGTTGGTTGGCTTCACAAATATCCAACAGATCCATCAGATCTTTCAGCAGTAAGGCAAAAGCTTGCGATTGTGGG